AATATATATATATATATATAATCTCCCATGTGTATGTGTGTGTGTGTGTATATATATATATGTGTGTGTGAGTATGTATCTCCCATGTGTATGTATTTATATCTATCTCCCATGTGTATGTATATATTATCTCCCTTGTGTATGTATATATATATATATCTATCTCCCATGTGTATGTGTGTGTGTGTATATATGTATATATATATCTATATATCTCATGTGTATGTGTATATATATCCCATGTGTATGTGTGTGTATATATATCCCATGTGTATGTATATATATACACATAGGTTAGAAGAGAAAAGGCTGGCACTCACTTTTTGCAAGCACTCTGTCTTTTCCTTCTTCTTGTTCCTGCACTTGGCAGCTGCAATCTTATTCCTTTCCCTTCGTCGTTTTTTCCTTTCATCTTCTTCAGGGGCTACCTATAAAACCCAAAATATATTTAATAACTGAAATTAAATATTGAGGTAGAACCATAGAATAAAGAGGAAAATAGAATTTAACAGAGGGGGCTACAATCAAATGAGAGACTTGCACAGACAGCAAACTGAGCAGCTAGGGAGGAAGCTGTCTGCAACACCCCTGAACAAAAACTGCTTAAGTTGGAGAACCTGGTCGTTCCACTACACAAACAATAGAGGATAAGAGACTTCAGGAGAGTGGGCTACAATCAGGTGAGAAAATACTCCCAGAGCCAGCACACTGAGATGCAGGGGTGGGGTGGGTGGGGTGGGGAGGTGCTACAACTCTCCTGGAGAGAAACTGCTCCAGTTGGGAAACCTGCCTGCACAGGGCCATTCCACACCCCAAGAGGACAACAAACTTTAGGAAAGGGAGTTGCAATGAGGTGAATCCTGCAGGGTTACACTTCAGATCAGAGATGACTTGAAAGACTTTAGGAAAGGTAAACTTTCATGCTCACAGACCCAGAAAGGGTTTCCAGTAGATAAAGTTGCCCACCTTGATAGACAGAACACTTTAATCCTGCAAGTAATCCATAACATCATAAAGAAAAAGAACTACCAACAACCTATGCAGACACAATAGAAATGGCCTAACAAACACCAAGAAAAACTTCACATAGTATCAAGAAAGCAGCAAACAGCTTCAAACTTTGTGAGAAAACAAAATACTCCCCTAAAAAAAGCAGAGCATATTGCAAATCCAATGAATACCTTAGAGACAGCATGACAGAAGGAATATTATTGACATGGAGTCATAAGAAGAGCTACTGAAGAAGATACAAATGGTAGAGGAAAAGTATGGAAGCCATAAATAAAGTTAATACTCTAGAGGCAGGGAAACAGAAGAAATATATTGATGTAGCATTATATGAACAGCTATAGAAGAAGGTATAACTAATGGAAGAAAGAATGGAAGCCATAAATAAAGTGAATTCTCCAGAAACAAGGATTCAGGAGAAATACATCAATGTAGAGGAACATGAACAACTATGGAAGAAATTGTGAAAAATGGAATAATTGAAACTCTAGATAAAGAGGTACAAAAACTTGAAAAAAATCATCACGAAACAGAGAGGGTACAGCTAACAAAGTACAGGAAATCACAGAAAGTCATGAAAATGCAATCCAGAATATCAAGACCAAAATGGCAGAAGGTTACAAGATGCTAGAGGGCTATAAAAAGCAGAAGAGAAGAGACAGAACAGAGAGACATGAACTGGAAGACAAGAACCTCAATGAGAACACACTAGATGAAACATTAGAGAGGAGACAGAAAGAAAATAAAGATAACATTAGAATCATGTGGGATAACATCAAGAGGAGAAACAGAGATATGATTGGAATCCCAGAATACAAGGGGGACAGGGAAAGCACAGAAAATTGTGGAATAGGTACTAGAAGAAAACTATGCAGCACTCAGGAGTGATGATTTTATAAAATATAATATGGGAGATGCTAGAGAACATTATATGAGTGAACTAACTCAGTCTCCTAACGACAAATACTGTATAAGACCATTACTGTAAAAATAGAAGGATAACTAATAAGATGTATATAAAAGTCCAAAGCAGGGAGGGCAAATAGAAGGGGGTCTGAGGATTGGTAGGGGAGGAAATCATGGAGTTGTAGAGTCTGATAGGTGGAGGGAGGCAGTGAAGGAATTAGGAAAGATTCAGTGGGTACCTGAAAAGACAGGATACTAGGGGGCATAGATTAATGATGATGAATTTTATAAAACACAATGTATAAAACACCATGTGAAAAAAGCAAAGTGTGGGCAGGGAGAAAAGTGCAACAATGAATGAATGGAAATCCAAAATCTCTGTAAATGTTCATTAAAATGATTTAAAAAAAATTAATAATAACAATAATAAGAAAACTAAGTAAAAATTTTAAAAATCATAACAAAAATAAATTATACAAGAGTAAAAAAAAAGCAAAGTATGAAACACAATGTATATGAAGGAAACACCACAATGTATACCAAAAAATGTCTTTTATGTAGTTTGCTATTAAAAAAACAACCCAACAACAAAAAAAACCCCAAATATTGAGCCAATTCCAACTCAAGACAACCTGATATGCTGTTTCATAGGGTTTAAGTGACTGTAACTATTATGAAGGTGGATTTTGAAGGCCTTTTTTCCTACAGTGCTGCTAAGAGAATTTGTACCATCAACATTTAGGTTAACAGTCAAGCACAAATCAGTTATGCTACCCAGTGACCTTCACATGCTTAATCAGAGGCAAGAAATAACATTCATCTCAAGTATTTTACTTCTAATAATAATTGGAAAATTAAGACAGCCCTGATACTAATTGGCACAACAAAAATAAGACTAGGCTTGACAATGATTTCATTTTGCTTGAACCTATAGTCAGCTACCAAGGGTATCAAGAAATCAAAAGACATGCCATTTTGGGAAAATCTGCTGTTAGGGATATCTCCAAAGTATAATAATGTCATCTTAAAGACAAAAGTGAGTCTGATTGAAGCCATGATCTCAATTGCTTTCTATGCATCTGAAAGCTGGATAATGAATAAAGTCAAAAGGAAAAGAATCAATGCCTTTGAGTTATGGTGTTGGAGAAGAGTGGTGAACATCTTACGGACTGTCAAGAGAACAAACACGTCTGTCTTGGAGAAAGTGAAAGAAGAGTGTGCCTTGGAAGCAAGAATGGTGACAGTTCATCTCATATACTTTGGAAATGTTGTTAGGAGGTACCAGGATTGGAAAAAGACATCATGCTTGGAAAGGGAAAGTTACTGTAATAGAGAAGACCTTTGAAAAAATGGATTGAATGACTGCAGTAATGGGCTCAAGTATATCAGAGATGGTGAAGATGACACGGGGGCAAGTCCCAGATCCATTGTTCACAGGGTCACTATGTGTCTAAGTTGATTCAAACCACACATAACAACAAACCATCCTCCTAACTATTGCTTTGAGTTCACTGTGACAGCCACTGTGATAATCCATCTCATTGAGGGTCTTCTTTTTCACTGACCCTCTCTTAAGCATGATAGCCTTCTCTAGGCATTGGTTGGTCCTGATAATACCTGCAAAGCATTTGAAAAAAAAGTTTTGCAATTTCATTTCTAGGGAGCATTCTGGTTACGCTCCTTTTAAGACAAATGAGTTTACTGCCATCAAGTCAGCTCGGACTAGTTATTGTTGTTGTTGCTGCTGTGTACCGTTGAGTCGGAAGCGACACTTGGCTAACCCAACTGGAGGGTTTTCAGAGGCAGTTAATTGCACAGGAGGAGATTGCTCTCCTTCTCTCACAGAGCAGCTAGTGGCCTCGAACTGCATGCCTTCAGGATTGCGGTGTAGCTTCTTGCCACTAGGCCACCAGTGCTCCCTGACTAATAATGGCCCTATGTAAAACACAGCTATCTGCTCCTGAGCCATCTTCACAATCATTGCTATGCTTGAGTCCATTGTTGCGGCTCCTGTGTCAATCCATCTCATGGAGGGTCCTCCTCTTTTCTACTGGCTCTGCCTTACCACGAATGATGACCTTCTCCAAGAACTGGTCCCTCCCAATAACATGTCCAAGTTCACGAGACAAAGTACGGCCATACTCACTTGTAAGGAACATTCTAGATGTACGTCTTCCAAGATTAATTTGTTCATTTTTCTGAAAGTTCATGGTATAGTAAAAATTCTTTCACCATACTATAGTTCAAATACATCAAGTCTTCTTTGGTCTCTCTTATACATTGTCTATATTTTGCAGATATTATTAAGTGACTAAAAATACTGTGGCATGGATTATGTGCACCTCAGCCCTCAAATAACATCTTTGCTGTTTAATCCTCTGAGGTCTTTTACAGATCCCTCCAGTGTTAATATGGTGTTTAATGTCTTGAATGTTGTGTCCATAAACTACTGCTGTCTAGTCAGTTCCAAACCATAATGACCCTCCATTCAAACCTCCAACCTTTTGGTTAACAGACCAGCACTTTACACACTATGCCACCAGGGAGCCACTTTATATAAGTCTTCATTGGAATCATGAAGGAAAGGCCAACAAAGCAGCCAAGATCTTAGCTCCCACATCCTTGAGCATCACAGCATTGCTAACAACTGCCTTCCTGATTTCTCACTATACCTGATATCTCGTAGAAAGTTACAGGGAACAGTGTAAGTGACAGAGACAGACTTGGTCTTGGGGTAGACACCTTGTACCAAGACTGTAAGCACTGTAGTTGGACTGGTTGACTAGACCTTGCTCCATTTTCTATGTACCTGGCTCCCCATAGCAATAAAAATAATCACCTCATTCCATGGTGTTTTTATTTCAGAACTAGGTGCATAGGTGATCTCAATCCATCTCAAGGTATTAAATATCATGCATGTGACTTTCAACTTTATATCTCTAGTACTGGTTCTCCTATGAACCTCAGATCCACAGATCCACAACCTTCCTGGCGCCTTCATTGTGGTGTTGAATAGACCAGTACTCCAGTTCTTGCCTTTATTCAACTTTTTACAGTCTTGTCAATCAAGTATACAAGTGGGTATATGAGTTGCTGAAACTATCAGCCTTGTATCTTCTCTTTCTTTCATACTGGATGTGCAATATATCAGTAAATCAGCTTTACCCACCAAACACACCTAGACTCCAGCCACAGCTCAGTCCCTCCACTGCCCAATCCAGTTGCAAAGCCTCATCTCTCTTTTGCCTGTATTACTATGGTGGAACCCTTTCTGTACATTCTGCTTCTGCTCTTGTCCCTACCATCTATCTTCAACACAACAACCAAGGAGACCATGTAAAAAGATGAGTTATATCATGTCACTCTTTTGCTCAAAAACCTTCCAATCACTTCCTATCTCTTTATGACTAAATGGTTATATGCATGAGTCTATGAGACTCAACATGATATGCCCTCCACCTATTAACTCCCTCCAACAACCTTGACCTCACATTTCACCCTGGCCTCCCTGCCCATCTGCTTCTCTCCAGGTGAGTCAGCCAGACTCCCACCTCAGACCTTCAGACCTAAGATAGCAAGCCTGCTGTCACCTCTATGTTTGTTTCCCTTCCTTGCTTTATTTTTGTCCTTTGCACTTGCTTCTCATATCAAGTGCTTTTCATTGCTTCCTTCCAACAGAAGGTAAGTGTTCTGAGGGCAGTGATTGTGTTTATTGTATTCACTACATAATGCCTTTGGGCTGTGGAACTGGAAAAGAGTATTGAGTATACTATGGACTGCTAGGAGAACAACCAGGTTCATCCTAGAGATGATGAAACCAGGCTACTCGTTGGAGGCAAGGATTCTGAAGCTTTGTCTGACATACTTTGGACATGTTGTAAGGAGGGACCAGTCCTTGGAGAGAAACATCATGCTTGGGAAGGCGGAGGGACAGCGCAAGAGAGGAAGACCCTTAATGAGATGGATTGATTCAGTATCTGGGGTAACGGGGGTAGGTGTGTCAGAGACAATAAGATTTAGCACAGCATAGAGCTGGGTTTAGGGTTTTTGGACATAGTGTTGCTATGAGTCACAGGCAACTCAACGACACATAACAACCACAACAACAACACAACCATAGTCCTTCGCCCTGAACATGCCTGGCATGTGCTGAGTGTGCACTAAGTATGTGCTGACCGATGACCACCTGTGGTGGAACCTACCTCTGCTTTAGTGACTGACATCTCGAGGGGTCTGTCGCTGACTGTGACTGACTCCAGTGCAGAGGACATCCGCTGGCAGAGGTGCTTGTTCTGGATGGCGAACCTCAGCTCTTCTTTGACAAAGGGAGTCAAGTTGGCAAAATCCTCAAACACTAGTGACCCGGGAGGAGACAGGCACGGGACGATGGCAGAGGCACTGACTTCCGAGGCAGACGCCTGGCCTGTGTGTTGAAGCATCATGTTGCTGAAAAATACATCAGAATGGAAACTGCTTTACAAGTTTCTCAGCACGAGCTCACACCTCCCTGTATCCTCCAACACTAGGGCCGCCAACCCCGTAAGAAGTTCCATAATCTTTCTGGTTTATTTACAATCATCCATGCTGTACTCATCTTAAACAAAACAAGTGTTTAAAACATACAACTTAGTGATATGGATAAACTGGAATTTATGATTTGACCTTTTATGTTATTGTGAACCCTAGAAGAGCTATTTGTTTTTCTTGGGTGCACGAATTAAAAAAAAAAATTTGCTTCCTCATGTGAATTTCAATTCATGAGTACCCCATATGTGATAGAGAAGCACTTTGCCATAGACTTTTGGCTGCAATCATTAAAGGAAGCACATTGTCAGGTCTTTCCTTCAACAGGACCACTAGATGAGTTATCTTTAGGTTTGCACCCATCACACACCAACCACTTGTGCCTCCTGTATATGTGGACACAATAAAGCAATTTCTTTCTTTTTCTCTACATCAATGAGACTATTAGTAGCCCCATCTCAATATCTTTTTATCAAAAGAAACTTAGATGGCATCTGAAATCAAGTTGACTCTATCATCAAGAAGAAATAAAAGGCAAAGGGAAAAGGATGCTTCAGTTTTGTAAGTAAATGTCTGAAGTCTCTTGCTCAGAAAGTTTGATCAAGTAAGCGATAAGGAAGAAGGCAATGGTCTTTTCCCAGTTGTTGGCAGACAATGAAGGGTGGAGATTTAGTTACCCGGGGACTCTTCAATTAAAGTTAAGGCTGGTGAAGCAGAAGACCTGAGTCAAGACAATAAAAAAAGCCAAGGGTTTGGACAACTGAAAAAGGTGTTGTCCAACCTTGTGATTTAAAGAAAGCCTTCGACTGGTCGTAGAGCACGTACAGGACATGTCACCTCTGCTCTCTAAGATCCAGTCTTCCTGTGGTAAATGACTGAGATCTCCCTAGTGCACGAGTCAAATCACTCTCATCATTCTATCCCAGAGTCTAGCAAAGCTCTGGACTCAGCTTTCAATGTCCATTGACTAGCTGGAGACCGCTTGAGTGAATTTAAAAGATGAGGAGAGGGCATTGGAATGAAACAGCCTCCAAGGTCTTTTCTACCTCTCTTAGTCTATAGTTTAGAAAATTCAAAGAGACAACAATATCAACAGTCACAACGTTCCAACTTCAGATGGATTCTGACTCACGGCACCAAGGCCTGTGTGTGTCTGAGCAGAACTCTGTTCCATAGAGTTTTCAGGAGCCAATTTTATAGAAGTACGTCATCGAGTTTTTCTTCTAAGGCACCTCTGGGCAGACTTGAACCTCCAGTCTTTTCGTTAGCAGCAAGCATGTTAACTTTTTGCCCTACCTGGGGACTCGGTCACTGATTAATCTCTTCTTGCCATACTATTATTGTTATGTACCATTGAATTGACGACAACGCATAGACACTCTATGAACAACAAACCTGAGCCTTGCTCTATCCTGCACCACCCCCACAACCTCATACATGTTTAGGCCCATAGTTACAATCACTGTGTGAGTCCATATCCTCAAGAGCTTTCTTCTCTTTCTCGACCTTCCACCTTCGTCAGTGTGAAGCCTTTTTCTAAAGATTGGCCCCTCCTGACAGCATGCCCTAAGTATTTGAGGTAAAGTTTCACCTCCCGTGCCTCTAAGGAGCACTCTGGACACATTTCCTCCAATATGTGGTAGTTGTTGTTTTTAGTGTTGTTGTTATGTGCTACTGCGTGGAGTTCAACTCATAGCAGATTCTATGAACAATAGATCTGATTGTCTGCTTGTCCTATCCTTCGCATCTCTGACACACTTGAGCCTATGGATGCAGTCACTGTGTCAGTCGATCTTCTTGAGGGTCTTCCTCTCTTTCGCTGACCCTCTACCTTTCTAAGCATGATATCCCTTTCCAAGAAGTAGTAATTTTGGACATGTTGCCAGGCAAGCACAAGTGTGAGAGAAGAAGCTTCGCCACCCTTGCCTCCAAGGAGCACTCTGGCTGCATTTCCCCCAAGACATTTCTAGACCTTCTTTCGGTAGTCCATGGGATATTCTGTACTCTTCTCCAACAAACAGCACAATTCAGAGGCATCAGTTCAAAAGATGTGCTACACTGGGAAAATCTATGTTCAAGGATTTCTCCAAAATACTAAAGAGCAAAGGCCAAGATATGCCTGATCCAAGCCATGGTATTTTCAACTGCCTCCCATTCATATGAAAGGGAACTCTGGTTGTCTAGTGGTCAAGAGTGGTGCTGCCAATCCAAAGGTGGTGGTGGTGCTTGTTGACTGCCTTCGAGTCGAGCACGACTCATAGCCACCCTATGAACAAAAGGCCTGAAGCCCCTCTACAACTATCAACATTTATCAAGTTCATAGAGTTTCTAGAGGCATGTTGTTTAGGAAGTGGATGACACTCTTGCTTCCAAACCTATCATAGAATGTTATTGGTTGAGTTGCCTGTGGTGCATAGCAACCCTATGTACAGCAGCTCTGAACCCGTCTGTCCTGAGCCAGTCTCACTAATCCTGACACACCAATCCCCATTGCTCCAGACACTATATCAGTCCATCTCATCCGGGGTCTCCCTCTCCTGCACTCTCCATCCTCTCTTCCAAGCATGATGTGCTTCTCCAAGGACCAATCTCTCCTGGCTACATGCCCAAAGTAAGTGAGGTAGAGCTTCAAAATCCTAGCCTCCAAGGAGAGACTTGGTTTCACCCTCTCCAAGACAGACCGATTTATTTTCTTGGCAGTCCATGATCTAATCAAGACTCTTCTCCAGAACCACAACTATTCTTCTTCTGTCATCCTTAGTCATTGTCCAACTCTCTGAAACATAATAAGTAACTGAGAAGACCATGGCCTGGATTAGGTGCACTTTTGTATCTAGACTGACATCGTTGCTCTTCAGCACTCTGGAGAGGTCCATGACAGCAGATTTTCTCCAGTGCAATTTGTCTTTTGATTTCCTGACTGCTGGTGTTAAGCCAAAATGAAAGCCAATGAAAGGAAGACTAAGCAGAGAAACACAGTGAAGCCCTACCTCTAATGAACAGCTGATCTTTCCAGGTCATGATGCACACTCAAGATGTTGTCTGAGCCTTCTTTATTCAGAGTCCCCAAAATGGAACCAGAAGATCAAGAATGGAAGTCATATCAAGACTGCTCAGGTAAATGATCTTACCTCCCAGGGTTTTTGTTCAATCCTGTTGCAGATCACTGTACTTCATTGATAGCATCCATTCTGGTGGTTTAGTAATAAGGAGTTGTGCTGCCTATCCAAAGGCAGGCAGTTCAAATCCACCATTTGCTCCATGGTAGAAAGATGGAAAGTTTCCAGTGTAATCTGTTGTTACGTATCATCAACTCGGAAACGACCCATAGGAGGTTGTCATAGGCAGATCATATGGGAAGAGATTGCCCAGCCTTCTTCTACAGAGCAGCTGATGGACTCGAACCGCATACTTTTGGGACTGCAGTGCAAGTTTTTGCCACTAGGCTACCAGAGCCTACAAACCCACTGGAGGATCACCTCTAAGTAGATTCTGACTTGATGGTACATCACAACAACTAACCTAAGGTTGGGAGTTTGAACTTTTCTAGTGGTACCATGGGAGTATTATCTGGCAATTGGTTTCTGTAAAGATTTCAGCCAAGAAAAACCTACAGATTATTTCTACTAAGTTACACACCAATGTGGCTGCCGTGTCTAGAAACTGCCAATAGGTTTGGGTTTTGGTTAAGGAATTCTAGAGTCTGTCACCAGCTTTCCCCATACAGTCTAATGAGGAGTACATAAGTGAGTTCTGGAAAGAATTATGCAAATAGGAGAGTCATTATTAATGAAGTGGGTCCCCGGGGATCCTTCCAGACCAAGACTCGCTCTCTGGCAGAGGTTCTGTCAAGTCCAAGTGGGTCCTAATGAGTAAGAATTCCAATTCCAATGAGTGTCATTCATTATTCAAAGAAACCTGGAAAATATATGGGATTCTGTTCCCACAGCCAGAGTCAAAACTGAAGTTCTATCAACTTAATCCTGTACTCTCAGGATTCCAGGAGGTTACTCCTCTCTGGTGAGTAATAAACTCCTCTAAGAAACCAGTGATCTAAAGACAGTCTTAAGATTCTTCTAGGGATTCATGTTTTCCCTCCCTTTCCAACTTTATTAAAAACTAAACAGTGGAGATGGAATTCAGAGCTCCCATGGGCTGATTTTTCTTTGGAGGACTGGATGGCTCCTTTCTACCTGGGTAGTTTGAACTCCACCATACTTGAGTCTAGTTCTTGTACCCTACTCAATTTAGTTTATGACTACGCTATCAAGGCTTGAGGTCTGCCGTTTGGGATTTTCTCCCCTCCCTTTTTCAATGGAAAGTTAATAGTACTGCTAAAAGAAACTGAAGTATGTCTGTGATATAGAATGTTTTTATGAAAAACACTGGTGATGGAAATGAATTGTAAAATATTAAAAGTGTCTCAGAAAATACAGCAGTGGTAACTGCTTTATCTGCAGTAAGTTGACACTTAGCCTCTCAGAATACTTTCTTCTTACTCCTTCTGTATTCTCTTAAAAAATTATGCAGTCTGGAGAGGCCTGTGTCCCCACAAGTGAAGTGACATTAAATCTTCAGATATATTATTCAGAAAATTGAGACCTGTGGTATAGTGGGTCTGTTGTTCAAAATAATCAACACTTTGACCTAGGCTTTCCTAGGTCATTGCCTTCGATTTTGCTACATGGCTGCATGGAATCATGCAAATAGAATATGTTAGTCTATCGATGAAAGGATAGGACAGTCTGGCCACTCCACCACATTTAAATTGAGCAGATTCAGTGACAGGAATGGGAAATCTCACTACTAGAAAAGAAAAGGAAGAGAGGAAGGAAGAGAAAAGAAAGAAAGAAAGAAAGAAAGAAAGAAAGAAAGAAAGAAAGAAAGAAAGAAAGAAAGAAAGAAAGAAAGAAAGAAA